GAAGGCATCATGGCCAATTTCGATTCTATGCTGGCCCACGCGATATTCGCCGGCAGCGGTCTCGCCCGCGTTGACGGCGCCGCGCCGCGCAACGTCCCCTCGGCAATCAGCCCCCCATGCAGCCACCGCCCAGAGCAGACGAAGAGGGCGAGGCATCTGGCGTCTATTTTGTCGGTGCCGTCCCCTCTGCTGGTGGGGATGTGCATCCGACCGAATCCGGAGAGTGGAGCTACCGCGTTGGCGATCAGGTGTAGACATTCGGCCTCCGAACACCAACGACGCGTCGGTCTTGGCGGGACCTGGCTCGATCATCTCCGCGAGCCCGACTACGGCAACGGTGGGCCCAAGTGCCGCCCGGCCGAGATGGTCTGCATATTGCAGGGCGCGCAGGCCTTCATCGGCGCCGCCTTCGACGCGCGGGCACCGGCTTGGCGCGAGAAGGCCTGGCCTGGGATCGCGCGGAGGACTGTCCGGAGCACGTCGCGCAAGGGCCAGGGCCTTCGGCCGCTTGGAGGACGCGAACGACGCGCAGCTGACCGAGCAGGCTCGGTAACGCCGTTTCTTTCTTGAGGCCCCGTGCCACTTTTTTCACATGTGCTTTCAGCCGCCAAACGTTCGTGCAGTGCGTCTTGCACGCAGCCAGATGTCTGCGGTCGACTGGCCGGGCTGCGCCCGCAGCTAGGTCATCTGGTGGTTCCCCCGGAGACCGAGCGACGCCCCACAGCTGCACCTGGGCGGCGCCCAGTTCAGTTCGACGCCCGCCACCTCATCGGCGCGCGGCGGAAGTTAGCTCGCATCATGCAGTTTGTTTAGGGCGACGAGCCGCCAGTAGCAGCGAGCGTCTATCAGGGCCGAGACGGGGCGCTCGATGACTGTGTCATCGACGTCCGCGAGGGCGCCGCCAGCGTCGCCGCGGGTGGTTCACCGCGCCACTAGCTTTGTCTTCTTATACCCGAAGAGGCCGACAGCGACTTCCCCGCCCACATCCAAGAAGCGAAGTTGGGCACCTTGGCGCGAAGTCGGGGCGGCAGAGGGTTCTTCCTCGGAGCTGCAGGGGCAGGAAAGGACCGAGAGCCAGCAACAGATCTCCTCCGCCATCGAGCACGCCGCGGCCGGTCTCGGCCGCATGCCAAACGAGTGGCCCCAGCACCTGGAGACGCAGCGCCAGCGTCAGGGCACGCGCGCGCAGCGCCACCACTGCCTGCGCGGTGCGTCCGCGGGCGATTGCGCCACGCCCGAGGAGGGGGGCGAAGGGGGGGGCTTGCGGAGCCGTGCCTGAACCCAGGGGCGCGCGAAGCATTCCTGATCTGCAACGAGGACACACCCGGCAATTGCTTGCCGGCGCTTCCGCGACAGCCGCGCCCAAGGTCTTGCGCCGCCGCCGCGGCCGCGGCAATCGAGCGTGACTCCGACCTCCTGGCCAAAGAGGAAGTGTCGAAGGAAGTCGCCGCAATTATCTTCGAGGAGCTCATCATCTGGGTCAAGTGCAACTGTTTGGAGAGGGGGGCCCTCGAAGGCGCCCCAAACGTCGCGGGCGCCAGCCGGGTCTGCAAGTGGATGCGCCGGAATGGATCGGGCGGCAAGGCCGTCGGGGTCACCCAGCGCCGCGCGGCGCCGAGAAGCCTTTGCGACGCGGGCGCCGGAGCCCGCGAGGCGATCGCCGCGGCGGCGAAGCAAGCGGCGCAGCGCACGCTGTCCTCAGGGGCAGCGCGTCGCCTGCATTGGGCGCGCGTCGCCGTGGACGTCGAGCAGGCGTTCCTGCGAAGCACGACCTGCGCCGGCATGCAGTATCAGGGCGAAGCACCCTGCGCGCGGTGAATTTCACTTGCCCGGTAGTGCCGCCATCCTCAGGGAAGTGCCAGGCTGCGAACACCAAGCACGAGGTGTCGGAATTCCGAATCGCGAAAAGCGCCGTTCCAGAATTTCCGCATCGTCCAAAACGTAGTTCCGGAAATTCCATGATTTTGGAATCGCATTCGTTCCATGCGAAACAAATTCCGGAAATTCAGAAACGATGTTCCGGAAATTTTAGAATCACACAACTGAATTCCGCAAATTCCAGAATCTCCGGAAACGCGTGCCCCGCGATTCGGCGTCGCGGATTGGGCTTTTCTGTTGCGGTTCAGATTGGACGGCGGTCGTTTGGGGGATTGGAAGTACTTGGTCGACTTTGTTTGGAGCGGTCGACGCGAAACCAGCGCTGTTGAAATTGGGGTTCACTGCGCTTGCGGCCATCGTAGATAACATCGCTAGTTTCAGCATTGGCACCGCACCCCTCTATGCCACACCCCTTTTTCCGACTTCCAAAACGACGAGCGGACCGAGTGTTTGCGCTGCATCAAGCCAGGCAGGGTCTGGAAGGATGCGCCCAGGGCCTGCTCCATGAAGCTCGCCCGGATCACGCGATCACCGGGGCGCGGCGCCGCGCCGACGAGGTGGGGCCCAGAGTTTGAGGTCGAGTGCGAGGCGTCCGGCGCCCATGGCGCCGGCGCCTTGGAGTCAGTGCCCACTTTGTCCAGGCGCGTTGAATCTTTGAAGATCGCTTGACGCTGGAACGAGTACGCTTGGCCAGAGCGAGTGCATCGTTCTGACCCCATCGGGCGCGTCGCACCAGTCACGGCGAAAGCCGACGAGCCTGCAGGAGGTCAGTTTTTTTTTTCAGACCTGTTTGTCTTCGCCCTCGCAGTAGTAGCATGCGCTCTGCTCGCGCGGCACCGCATCACCGCGTGCGTCGTCGCACTGCAGAGGGCCAAGAACAAGCGGCTCATCTGTCGCGCGATGCAGATCATCTCCGTAGTTCTGGCCACACAGGTGATCGAGGCGCGCGTCGCCTTCCCGGCTGTGGAGCGCGCCGGGCGACTATGCGCACGCAGCGACGGGTCGTTCAATCGGTGGGAGGAGAGTGGTTGCGGCATGAGGAGCGCCGCTTGCATCTTTCTGGGCAAGTGCCCGAGGTGCCGGTCAACAATCATGTCACTTGTTCGACGCCGCGGGCCGATCGCACAAGTTGGCGCGCCGATCACTATGCAGCACAGAGCTGGGCGCAGACTGCGGGGCAGCCGACGGCCTGCAAGCGCACCTCCAAACGCTCCGCGAGATTTCGCGCGGACCTGCCTCAGCCGAGGAGATCAAGAGTCTGCAGGAGGAAGGGTGGGCACGTCCGTCTTCTCGGCCCAGATCGACGACGCACTGTGGTGCGACGCCAGTGACACGAGAGTCGACCCCATGACGAAGTGAAGCATCGGCAGAGATACCCTCCTGAATCATGGGCGGCAAGCTCAGTTACGACTTCAACGCGATCAATTCGGGCGAGGGGAAGCACAAGAAAGCCGTGCCACGCTCGCAACACAGTGTCTCTCCGTCAAGGAGAAGGGCGGCTCGAATGGTTGAATCATCAGGCGCCACATCTCCCGGACCATGTTCGCGAATGCGGCGTCCGATTGGCGCGCGAACCCTGTGGGACCCCAGGTTGTGCCTACAGCCCGTGGCGCGCGAGCCCTACAGGGCCCCAAATTGCGTCTGCAGGCTTTGGGGCGCGAGCCTTATGGGGGCCCTGGAATTGCCTACATCACGAGCAAGTAGGACAGATATGAAGCGAGCGGTAAAGCATGCAAATGAGATACTTGCTCGTTCCGCTAGTTATGTCTTAGGAGCAGTAACCACGGAGACAGTTCAGCATGCAAGGCCGCTTATTGCCTCAAGCTTTATGCAAAGGGGGGTTCAGCAGAACCCTGTTGCTCTGTATCTGTCCATGTCTGGAACTGTTTAGTGCGACCGTTCTGTTGTGCTTCGGGGGTGTTCTAGGTGGTTTGTACCTGGGACGCCACAGATGCACAACGAATCGGTTGAGCACCATATTCGAACGGGAGATCTCCTATATTTTGTTGGGCGCACGAAGGAGTTTCCGTCGCCATTCTGGGGTTCCTTTTCCGCGCCCGCCTGATTTGCGCCTCCTAAAAACCGCCGTACATTGCGCACCTCAAAAAAAGTACCACGTTCCATCCTGATCATTTATTTCCTCCCCCCTTGCCTCTTTTTCCTCCTCATCCTCCCCCTCCTCCTCCTCCTATTTCTCCTCCTCCTCCTCTTCGTCCTTTTCCTCCTCCCCCGCCTCCTCTTCCTCCTCCTTGTTCCCCCTCCTCCCCTTTTCCTCCCAGGGAACAGAGCACGACACACCAGCTACGTAGACATAAGCTTCTGGAGTTCCGCGCCGATTTGGGGGGTCGGCGCTGGTACCCCCTTCCCCACTGGCGGCGTCTCCGTTGCCGACCCTGGTGCGATTTGCGCTCCAGGGCAGGGGTGTCCAGCGCCAGCCCGGAGGGCCCGCGCGGACCTCGGATGGTTTGTGTTGGCGCAGTTCTATGTTCTACCCCCGCGCCACCTACAGCTTGCAACGGTCAGCACCCAGAGATCATGGCGAATCCATATGTTGTTCTTAAGGCCCCGTTGTCACATCCCCTGGCCACGTTCCGTCGCCAAGCTTCAAGGCAGCTGACAGTTCGGGTCCGACCAGCCAGTCCGGCTGGCCAGTTATTTGATATGGTTGCCAGTTGTCGCAAGTAACCATATCAAGTAATGAATCGGCCTACCCACAGGTGCCCCACGGAAATGTCTGATCCCCCAGTGATTACATGGACCCACGGGATCTTTGGGGCACCCTACCGCCTTGAAGGAGATCGCCGAATAATGAGCCTCGTGATTTCTCAGAAGAACTTTCATATCGTATGTGTCTGCTGTAGCCGAGCCAGAAACATGGATATCACAGTATCCTCCCATGTGTATGCGTGCGATTTGTTGCGAGTGTTGAGAGGCCATTGCTTCACGCCCCTTGTTCAACAACTGGGCATGAGCGCCCGCCCCGACACAACGGCCCAGGACGAGGAACTAATTTGGGGTCCAGACCACCCTTCCATCCAGACACATGTCCCTCGTGCCAGACCTTCTCCTCCCACGCCTGCTCCGAATCTGTCCCGCTCCTCCTAAACACCCTCCTCCTGGAGGCAGCCTTGATACAGGGTACTGGCACATCAAGAACTCGTGGGGACCAGGTTGGGGCGAGGATGGGTTCATCCGAGTGGAGATGAAGGAGAACGAGGAGGAGCATTGTGGCATGGACAAGAACACCCACGTCGGCCTCGCTTGCGACGGGGACCCCGACGAGGATTACGAGCGACGAGCGTATTCATATCCGTGCCGTCGCCGTCTGGACACCGAGGCGCGATCCAATGGATACGCGATCACATGGATACGATCCGCGCGGGCATCGTCGCAAAGCCGGCCTGTATCCATATGTTCGTGTCTGAGGAGTCCAGACAGCGATGCCTTGGATATGGATGTGTTTTCCGCCCATGAGAGGCTTGGGTTTGCGGCACTTGCGGCATGTTGTACGACACGACGTACCCCACGGGCGTCTACTTGAAGCATCCGCCCGCCCCTTGACCGGATCATTGTGGGCGCCGTGTATTGATGAGGCAGCCGAGCCTACCGCCACCTTTCGAATCACGGTGTCTAAGCTCTGCTGTTCTTGGCACTGCCCTCGTGCCCGGCAGAAGCCGACCAGCCGAGTTCCTTCGGAAAACAAGTCGGTGCCAACGGACCACGGGTTTTGACCACGTCCACCGTTACCATTGCTCGTGTTTCCTCTCCTGCTCCGGCGCAGCCTGCGCTGTTACTCTTCTTCCTCCTCAGGATCCTCATGCTCCCATTATGGTTCCTATTATCGAAGACGCCTGCTGCAAATCACCGCCGTCCTTTACACTCCGAGATGAGCCTGCGCTCATCTGTTTCGCAATCTGAAGCGAACTTTGGGTTTTGAGCACGTGTGCCTCCAGGGCCGTCTTGGGAGTTTCTTGGGTTTTCGTCGGGCAGTTTTGGGCCTTACAGGTTCTCTCGGACCGTCTTGGGGCCATCTTGGGCTGTCTTCGTGACGATCTTGGTCCATCGAAGGCCTTCGGCCTTTCTGGCCGTCTTGAAGGCCATCTTGGCCGTCCAGGAAGCCATCTTGGCATCTGGCAAGCGGATCGGAGCAAGCTGCCGAGGTCCCTCAGGAGGGAGAAAAACACACAGGCACAATTAATCGCCAATTCGCCAGACAATATGGGAAAACATGGGAAGTGTGGGGGAAGACAAAAACACAGAAAATATTGGAAAATACGGGGGATCCTTTTATTTGTGTGTGTATTTTTTTGTGTGTCCCAGGGCCCCTTCAGTCCCGGCCGCCTAGGCCGAAGGGACGCTTGGAGGGCCAAGTAACTAGCACCTAAGAGTCTGGCACGCATGGCGTCCCTTCGATGAAATCGAGATGGAACGGCGGGACTGGCGGCCTTCGAGAGAGATCTCTTGAAGACATCTTGGGGTTTCTTTGGGGGGTCTTGGAGGTACGATGGGTCGGTCCGTGTTGGCCCGGGGGCCCAGAGCGGGCCTCCAGGGCGAGACCCTGGCCGCTGCGATGTCCTTCGTGGCGCCTGGAGGCTCGGACACCCTCCGACGACGACGGCAGCAAGCAGAGGGGCATGCCGAGCAAAGCGAGGTGCATAACGCTTGCCTCTGGGACGTGCTCGTGGGAAGTTGTTCACCTCGCCCGTGGCCACTCACTCCCTGGAGAGGTTGTCAGGGGCCCAGGTCTGTTCCTCGGAGGGGGCCCAAACGGTGTGGTGTTCACACCGTGTGGTGAGGCAGTGGGGGTGCGGGATCACCGCGCGGTTTTGGGATTCGGGTCGTTCTTCGAGGACGTCTCGGGCGACCGTGCCGGAGCCTCCGAGGTCCCAAGACCTTGCGGTGACAGACAGAGCGGTGAGGTCCTTTGGGATTCCGAGGTCACCGAGCGGTCTGTCACCACACGGTTTTGGGAACCCCAAAGTTCACCTTCTCTGCCTCACTGGTTTCCCTGATCCGAGCGACGGCGATGGGAGATGACGGTGAAGAGGGGACCTCAGGCCATGCCGCTGCTCTTGGGCGCGGCCCTCCAGCGGCGTGCCCCGTGCGCGTCCGACTGGCTGATGTCGCGCGGCGCGCCGCCCTCGCGGGGCCCTTGTGCTTTGCGCAGGCGCCGCGGCTGGGGGTCCCACCTCCGCCTCCTTTCACCCCCTCTGAGGCGTGGCGACAAAAGCCGCGCCGGCCGTTTCTCAACGTTTCTGGCCCCGGGACGCCGCTTCCCAGCCCTGGGGCCGTTTTTTTTCGACGCCAGGATCCCCGAACGTTCTGGCGTTCTCTTCCACGGGTGCCTGAGCACAAACGGGTGCTTGTGTGATCGAGATTCTGCGCCTTATTCAAGCAATGGCGAAGCGTCCTGGATCGCCTACAGGCCCACCAACGGATGTCGTAAGAACCTTTCTTGTCTGCACGAAATGTTATTGGGAACAGTTCTGGCCGATATTGTCTTGTTTTGGCAAGTCGTGCTCGTGTTCTAAGAACACTGTTATTGTTCTAAGAACATTTTTGGGTTCAAGTGACATGTCGTGGTCGGACTATAGGAATACCGGGACGGTCGGTCCCTGCTCAACTCATCGCCACGGCCGGTTTCTCGTCGAAATTCGAAATTCTGGTCGGATCACACGCCTTCGCAGCTCCGGGGCTGGGGAGATCCAGGCCAGAGCGCTGGCCGAAATTTCGGCCGATAGGAGTTCGGTTGGTTGCAGTGCTGCGGTCGGCGTTTCGGGGGACCGCGCCGATCTCGGCCAGATCTGTGGCCCTGGAGGGGCCCCTGATTCTTGTGCCCCCCGCCTGAGTTGGAGAGTTTAGGCCCGCGCGTATATCCATCGGCCCATGGGGTCGTAGGACAGAGCATCGGCTTCCAGGCTGTGGGCAGGTAAAGGCTCTGGCTTCGCAGTGATCTCCGAGCACGGCCGTTGGGCGCCCATCCGGCCTGCTCGACGCCCCTCCGGCCTGCTCGAGCGCACACCGGCCGACTGTCGGCCGCAGGGAGCGTCAGCAGCAGCAGCGCCGCCGTCGTCGCCCGACCAATACAGTCAAGGTGTTGACATGAGGACCGCTTGAGGCTCAGGAGGGGCTCTGGTTTTCGGACCCTTCTGAGCTCTAGGTCGGAGAACTCGATTCACGGCCGAGGCTCGTCGGGGCCAGAAAAGCATTTTACTTCCTCATCTGGCGCTCCTAATGGTGGCACGTTGATTGTGTCTGCTCAGAGTTGGCCCCTGGACCCCACCGAGAGCCATTCTTCCAAGGAGGGAATTTATCCACCATCCATACACACCGCCTGGGGGAACGATCGTCACTCGGGACAGAACGGGTATGGATATATGTGGGCCCCAGAGGCCCAACTGTATCAAGATCTACCACCCCCTGTGATCCCACGACATCGGTTCCCGAGGAGGTTGTTATGGATACAACCTTGTCTCACAATCCTCGCCAGTTGGGGAGATTCGACAGAAGCGCTCGAAAAAACAATTGAAACGACGACGCCGACGACTTCGGCCCGAGGCGGCGCCGCTCCCGCGCCGCCCGCTGGCGCCTCTCCGGGGGCCCGCGAGGTGTGAAGCGGTTCCCAGATGTCCCGACAACTTCCCCAGCGCAGGTTTTTCACCCTGAGTCGTTTTTGGGAGGTCCCGGGGCGTAGGCTTGAAATGGGGAAGCACTTCCGACACGTTGTTGGTCGGGGTCCTTGCGCGAGGCGCGACAGGCGAGGCGCGGAGCGTGGCGCGCCCGCGCCAGCGCGAGGCGCTCAGCGCGTCGTCGCCGCCTCGGCCCGAGCGCGGCGCCGCGCGCGCAGATCTCGGGAGGCGCGCGCCGCCGCCTTGGCGGCCCGCGCGTTGTTCCCGCGATGGCCCCGGGGCACGCTGCGGTCGCAGCGTCAGCCGCCACGGCCGCAGGCGCCCCGGCATTCGCCGCCACCGTCGACGACGGCGGACTTGGACGCGGCGACGGCGCCGCCGCCGACGGCCCCAGATCTCCGACGATCTGGTTTCTTCCAACCATGCCGTGGTCTCGGGTCCTCGTTTTGAAGAGACCGCGCCCTGCGTCTTCTTCCTCCTCCCGCTGCTCCCCCCCCCCTCCCTCCTCCCCCCCTTGGCCTCTGCCCTCCGTCGGTCTCTGTTTCGGCACACCCCTCACGCGCTTCGCGACCCCATAGGGAGCTCCACCTAAGGTCCCAGGGGCGGAACTCGCATGGCATCCCAGCCCCATTTTGGCGCAACCCTCACACGTTTCGTGGCCCCATAGGAGTTCCACCGAGGGTCCCAGTGGCGGAACTCGCATGGCCGCCCCGCCACATTTAGGCACACACCCCTCACACGCTTCGTGGCCCAATAGGGAGTTCCACCAAAGGTCCCAGCGGCGGAACTCGCACGGCATCCCCGCCCCATTTTGGCACGCCCCCTCACACGCTTCGTGGCCCCATGAGGAGCTCCACCTGAGGTCCCAGTGGCGGAACTCGCATGGCATCCCCGCCCCATTTTGTCACCCCCCCTCACACGCTTCGTGGCCCAATAGGGAGAGTTCCACCAAAGGTCCCAGCGGCGGAACTCGCACGGCATGCCCGCTCCATTTCGGCACACCCCCTCACACGCTTCGTGGCCCCATAAGGAGCTCCACCTAAGGTCCCAGTGGCGGAACTTGCATGGCATCCCCGCCCCATTTTGGCACACCCCTCACATGTTTTGTGGCCCCATAGGGAACTCCACCTCAGATCCCAACTGCGGAGTTCGCATGGCCCGCCCCGCCACATCTAGGCACACCCTCACACGTTTCGTGACCCCATACGGAGCTCCACGTCAGGCCACAGTGGAGGAATTCGCATGACGGCGCCGCCCCATTTTGGCATAGGGAGCTCCACCGAAGGCCCCAGTGACAGGGGCGCACCATGCGCGAAGGCGCCGGGCGAGGGAACAGCGCTCTGGGGCAGTTTACGGCCAGACCTGCTGGGCGCGGGCAGTCCGCACCCAGACCTCGATCCATTCTCGCCCTGGGCCGTCGGCTGCCCGGCGCGCCGCTCCCTCGGCCGACACCGCCCAGGCGTGATCCTGGACTGCGGCCGCCACGAGGTCGGGAACGGCAAGAAGGAGGACGACGACTGGTGGCTGGAGCTCTACGCGATGCTCTCGCGCGCCACGCGCCACGAGAACCTCCTGCTCATGCGGGCGCCGCGCATCGAGTTCTTCCTGGCAGGGCCGCCGGAGAGCTTGCGGAAGCAGCTGGAGCAGTTTGCGTTGCGCACGAAGCGGCGCAGTAGAGAGGCGACGGCCCTCGCCAGGGAGCTGGGTTCACCGAGTTTATCCGCGAGGCTTGATCTGGGGAGCAGCCCGCCCGACCCTCGCCGTCTCTCCACGGTCTGATAGTTTGGCTTCGAAGCGCGGGCGACCCGCGCGCGTCGCTGGGGTCCTCTCGGAGCGACCGGCGCGCGTCGCGGGAACTCCACGTTGCGCTCTGCCCGTCGCCTCGCCCTTACCCTTCGCCGCTCTGCCCAGCGGCCAGCGCCCTGCCTGCGTCAGTCAGCCAACGAGCTCTCTCTGGTCCGCGCGGCGGACGACCCGCGCGCCTCGCCGGGGCCCTTTTCGGTGCGATTGGCGCGCGTCGCGGGGATTTCGCGCTGCGCCGCGCCCGCGGCCTCGGAAATCGGCGCGCGCGGGCAAGAGGTAGAGAAAGAACGGGGGGGAAGCGGGCGCGACCCTCGCGCGGGGCGCGCCGACGCGGGCGCGCACATTTACGCGCGTAAACTCGCGCGCGCGAAGACTAATTCACAAGCAGATTCACTCGCGCTCGGACTCGCCCGTCCTCAGTCTCTCGCGCGCAGACTCATCGTCTCCGTTCGCGTCGTGCGCCCCGCCGCGCGGTTCGCGGCCCCATAGGGGGCGCGGGCGAAGATGGCATCCACGATTGCGGTGTTCACAACTCCATATGGTTGGGTCCTTCGCCAGGCCAAGTCAATCCGGGCGCCGTTCTTTGATCTTGGCGCATGGTGATTTCTATTGGGCCCCATGGCCATCCAACGCGAAGCCGGGGCGAGAAACTGGCGCCCTGGGGAGGAATCGGGATTTCCGGGCCGCGCATTGCATTACCATGCCATAGACTCCAGCCATCATTTTGCATTTGCGAGGCCGCAGTTGTGCAGTTGTGTGTATCGTCTTCGGTGGAGCTCCGTACGGGGCTACGAAGCGCGTGAAGGGTTTGCCGGAAAGGCGTCGCGCCCACGTGCGAATGTCATGATTGGGGGCCTTATGTGGAACTCTTTGTGGAGCCCCGCAGCGAGTCAGGAAGGTGCCGACGCGGGCGTGACGCCCACGCACGGGCGTCGCCGATGGGGTTTTAGATGGGGCTCCCCATGGGGCCACGAATCGTGTGAGGTGCGTGCCGAAGTGGGCGTGACGCCCACATGCGCACGTCGCGATCGGGGGCCTTAGGTGGACTTCCCAATGGGGCCACGAAATGTGTGAGGTGTGTGCCGAAACGGGCGTGACGCCCACATGGGAAGGTCGTCACTGGGGCTTTAGGTGGAGCCCCCTGTGGGGCCACAAATTGTGTGAGGTGGTGTGCCGAAACGAGCGTGACGCCCGCATGCGAACGTCGTTGCTGGGGCCTGAACTCGAGTTCCGCCCTACGGGGCCACGGATCGTGTGGGGGACGTGAAGACTACGCCACTGGGGCCTCATGTGTCGCTCCCTGTGTTGCCACCGAACATGTGATAGCTATGCCGCAACGCGCGTGACGTTTTTTTCGCGAGCATCGCCAGCGGGGTCCTGAGGTGGAGCTCCCCATGCATGATGATAATGCTGATGAGGATGAGGGCGAGGACGAGGATGGTGATGATGATGAAGAGGATGATGGTGATAATGTTAATGCTGATGATGCCTAAGATGGTGATGGTGGTGCTGATGATGCTGCTGATGATGGTGATGATGATGGTTGTGGTGGTGATGATGGTGATGGAGGCGGCGAAGATGATTATGATGATGGTGATGATGATTGTGGTGATGAGGATGATGATGATGCTGCTGATGATGATGGCGATGGTGATGGTGAGGGTAGTAGTGATGACGATGATGGTGACGATGCTGGTAATGACGACGACGACGACGAGGATACTTTGTAGTGTTGTTGATGATGATGATGATGATCATCATGATCATGATGATGAGGCTGCTGTTGATGAAGATGCGGATGATGATGATGATGATGATGATGGTGATGATGATGATGATGATGATGATGATGGCGTTGATGTTACTGCTGATGTTGGTGATGATGTCGATGTTGATGCTAGAGCTGGTGCTGGTGCTGATGTTTATGCTAGAGTTAGTGTCGATAATGGTGATGGTGAGGACGGCGAATATGATGCTGGTGGTTATGATGATGTTGATGATGATACTACTGGTGATGCCGAGGCGATCATGAGGACGAGGATGTGTATGATGATGATGATGAGGAGGAGGAGGAGGAGGAGGAGGAGGATGCCGGTGACGGTGACGATGACGATGACGATGGTGATGATGATGGGGAGGAGGAAAATGAGGAGGAGAAGGAGGAGGAGGAGGAGTGGGAGGAGGAGGAGGAGGAGGAGGAGGAGGAGGAGGAGGAGGAGGAGAAGGAGGGGGAAAAAGGACGTTGGGTGGGATCTTTTCTAAACGAAGACCCAACACCACAGGATAATTGGGAACTGGCGAAGGACCCACCAATGTCGGAGGTTTGGAACGGAAGTGACCCCAACCGGGAAATCGGTTTCAGTTTCGGTTCGTGCCGTGCGTGCGGACGAGGCGAAGCTGCGCGAGTTCCATCCTTAGTAGAGGCCATGTATTGCCAAAAGGGCCGCCTCCCGAGCGCAGGTCGTGGCCCCCTGTTGTCCCGGTGAATGTCCTGGCGGTTGTCTCGATATTTGTGGTTGCCCTGATGGTGTCCGGTAGTTTTCGTAATACGCCTGGCGAAGGACCCAACCATGCGCAGTTGTGAATGCCGCAAATATGAATATCGTTTTCGGTGGCGCTACCTCTGGGTAGGGGAGGCGCATGCGGGCACCCCCACTGGGGCCTTCGGTGGAGCTCCCTATGGGGCTACGAAGCGCTGCTCTGGGTGGGGGAACCGCATGCGGGCACCCCCACTGGGGCCTTCGGTGGGGCCCCCTTATGGGGCTACGACGCGCTGCCCTGGGTTGGGGAACCGCATGCGGGCACCCCCACTGGGGCCTTCGGTGTGCCCCCCTTTGGGGCTGCGAAGCGCTGCCCTGGGTGGGGGAACCGCATGCGGGCACCCCCATTGGGGCCTTTCCGGGGAGCTCCCTATGGGGCCACGAGCATGGCATCGCCCGGACAGACAATCTCTAACGAATTCTGCCGGACCCACCCTTCCCGGGACACCCCGCAACACGGAGCAGGGCATTGTATTGGTTTTGTATATTCCACATGTATATCGCCGCCTTGTGGGAACAGAGAATGAAGTTTTACATTGAGTTTGGACCATTGGGTTTTCAACTTAACATGGCCTCCGATTGAATAAAACCAATGCAGGATGCATCGCGTGCGCGTACGCGCGCGCGCGCGCGCGCGCGCGCGCAAGCGGGTGACCCGGCGCCGCGCGGGTCACCAGCGCGCGCGCGCCTCGCATATTGCACTGTTCTTGCATATTCCACGTTTATATGGCCGCTTCTTGGGCCCAGAGAATGAAATCTTACATTGGGTTTTGACCATTGGGTTTTCAGCTTGACATGGTCTCCGATTGCATATATATATATATATAACAAAAAACCTAGCAGGATGCAGCGCGTGCGCGCACGCGCGCGCGCGGGTGACCCGGCGCCGCGCGGATCACCAGCGCGCGCGCCTTGCATATTGTACTGTTCTGGTATATTCCACATTTGTATGGCCGTTTCTTGGGCCCAGAGAATGAAATTTTACATTGGGTTTTGACCATTGGGTTTTCAACTTAAGATGGCCTCATATTGTTTACAAGCAATACAGGAAGCATCGCGCGCGCGCCTCGCATATTGCATTATTGTGTGCGTTCCACATTTATATGGCCGCCTCTTGGGCCAAGAGAATGAAATCTTACATTGGGTTTTGACCATTGAGTTTTCAACTTCACATGGCCTCCGATTGTATAAAACCAATGCAAGATGTGTCGCGTGCGCGTTCGCGCGCGCGCGCGGGTGACCCGGCCCCGCGCGGGTCGCCAGCGCGCGCGCGCCTCGCATCTTATATTGTTTTCTTACATTCCATGTTTATATGGCCGCCTTTTGGGCTCACATAATGAAGCTTTACATTGGGTTTTGGCCACTGGGTTTTCAACTTAACCAGGGGGCGTCTTTCGCAGGGCCCGACCCATTGGATAAAGTTCGCCAGATCCAGTTTTTGCCTGGGGGGGCTCGCGGGGATCCGGGGGATATTCCTTGGGGGATTTCCGCGTCGAGGTTGGAATTGCCCCCGGAGGCTGCCCGTGGAGGCATCCGAAGGGGTGCGATTTTCGGGCGGCTCTCCCGGGGGATTTCCCATTGGGATTTCCAACGGGAGACAGCGGGGCATGTCCTGTCACATTCCCAATAGGACTCCCGAGGGGCACGATTTTCCGGGCGATTCCCACGGAGATTTCCGAGGGGCAAGATTTCCCGGGAGATGTCCACGGAGACTTCCGAGGGGCAAGATTTTCCGGGAGATGTTCCAGGACATGTCCAGGGTGTGTCTTCGATTTCCATGGGGGTGCCCGAGGGGCGCGATTTTCCGGGGGAGTGCGACGGAGATTTCCGAGGGGCTAGATTTCCCAGGATATTTCCACGGAGATTAAGGGGTGCGATTTTCTGTGAGATTTCCCGGGGGATTTTCTTGCGATTGCTGGGATCGTTCTTCGGGCATACGGGATGTGCTGGGAGTTTTCAGGTGATGCGCGTGAGGGGGATTTCCCGGGGAATTGCCGGAGGTTTCTGCGAGGGGCGCATTTTTTGCTTGGAAATAAAAAACGAAAACAATGAATTCCCGAGTGCATTTGCAGGGGGAGTTCCGGGGGGCAAGATTTTCCGGGAGAGTCCTTCGAGGGGCAAGATTTCCCGGGAGATTTCCACGGAGATTTCCGAGGGGCAAGATTCCCCGGGAGATTTTCCGGGAGATTCCTCGGAGATCCCCCGGGGCGCGTTTCCGAGGGGCGCGATGTCCCGTGACATTACCTGCGGCTGCCTTGGAAATGTCCGGCCGGGGTCGGACGCGGCGACGGTGCTTCAGGGAATGCCCGGGGGGGCCCAGGCATTCCAGGCGGGCGATCGGGCGTCTGCCCGGGCGCGAGCGCGAAAGCGTCGCGATGACGTTTCGCGCCGGCTTCGGCGAAGTCCCCCGGCATGCGCCCTTGCCCTCGCCAGCCTGGCGGGCGCCGCGCGGCCCTCGGGGGGGCCGCGCCTGGCGGGCGCATTCGGCGGGCGGCGCGCTCCGCGGGTGGCGCGCTCCACGGGCAGCGCGGCCCGCGCGGTCCTTGAACGTTTGGGTCGCCCGGACTGGGGCGGCGGGGGACACGGTGCAGGGGCGCCCGCCGCGGCCCCCCGAGATCGCTGAGAAGTTTTCGCGCGGCCGCCGCGCTTCCGCGATAGATGCCCGCGTGATCGCGCGCCGCGGCGCGGCGCGCAAAGGCGGGGGGGCCGCCCCGCGCGCGCCAGCGCGCGGTGGGTCGCGGGCCTGGCGAGGCGCCCCCCCCGCGCGCCATGGCCGCGCGCAGCTCCTGCGCGCGCGCGCCCGCCATTTGCAGCGGGCGCGCGCGCCCGCGCGCGCTGAAGCGCCGATGTCGAGGCGGCCGCCCTGGGCGCGCGCCCGCGGAGCTCCCTGCCGCCGCGGCCCCGCCCGCAATTTCTGCGGCCTGGCGCGGCCGTCGCACCGCGGGCCGCGGGCGGGAAAGACGGGCGCGGCCTCGAATGCTTCGATTTAGACGCGCTGCCCGAGAGGCGGGCGCCGCTGCCCAGCTCGCGCTTCCTGGGGGTCTACGGGCCGAAAGCGCCGCTAGTGCATCTCTTGCTTATTGGGGTTGCTGGGGCGCCTAGGCGTGGCGGCCGCGGCGCTTGCGCCGCCGTCCGCCCGCGTGCCCCGTGGCCGCGCGCCCATCCGCGCCCCCGTTGTTTTGCCCTCCAGGGGGCGGCGCCGTCTCATGGTGGTCACCGAAGGGAAGGGGGCCATTTCGTTGGAGTTTTTCCGTGGCCCACGTAAGTGGCGGCGTTGTCGCAGATAGCGGCGCCCCAAGGATGGCGAGGTCTACGCTGGCGCACGCGGGGCGCCCCCCGTTGGGCTTCCCAGGGGCCCGCGGCATTGGCGACTGTGTCCAAGCCGCTGCCCGCCAGGGGCGGCGATGCGCCATGGCGGCGCCCTGGGGGCGCCCTTCGTTCGACCCCCCGAGCGCGCGAAAGAGGCTCGAGTTTAGCAGGTCGCAGCTCGCCATGGGCGGCGAGGCCCCACGGTGGCCCCCGTGGAACACCTCTATGCCGGGCCCCCCGTGAGTTTGAGGCCGCGTCGGCCGCGACTGCCCGAACAGAGGAGTTGCCGAAGGTAAGAGTCAGGGGGTGGCCGACGGAGGAGGCAATACCGGTAAAGGATTCCAGTACGGAGGTTACAAGTACAACTACAACAGCAACTGCAAAGTACCCAGGCGGCCAGGGCGGCAGAGGAGGATGCGGAAGCCAGAAAAGTTACCGGGGAAATGCAGCAGGAGGCAGAGGCGGCAATGGAGGTTACCAAGGATGGTATACAGGAGGAGGTAGCGGAGGAGCTAAAGGGGGAGGTAAATTAGGCCAATGGTTTGTGCCCCACAGCGAGTCTATGCTTTAAGTGCGGCGGTGAGGGGCGCGTCGGCCTTCACTGCCCCGGAGGGGCCAATGGGGTTACCGCCGGCCCAGGGGGGGGCAGCAGGAGCCACTGGGGTAGCAGCAGGAGAACAACCTCAGGGACTCGGGCAGTCTTTACCGGGAGCTTTCAGCGTTGAGGTGCACGCGGATGTCACCGAGGAGAAGCCAGAGGTCGTGGAGGAGTGGAGTAAACAGCATGAGGAGAGGAGGAAGCTAAACAGGAGGGCGAAGAAGGGGCCCATGGCCAGTTACCGCGCGCGCAGCCCCAACTGCAACCACCCCCAAGACAAAAACGTCACCGGACCGCTCCGGAGCCAGTGGTGGGGGGGGGGGGGAAGTTTGCTAACGTCCGCTAGGGCTGTTACCTCCAAGAGTCGGTTCCAAAAGTAACGCGCATGCTTATGAGCATTGGGCTGTTCTCCCCCGCCCCGAGACGCCTTCGCCTAAAATGCACCGCCGAACCCAGTCCGATTGGGTCATGCGCGGGCGCAGGCAATCCCCGCACGCGCGCGCCGGAAATGGTGCTCTTATTCGGTTCGCCTAGGGAATGGTGGTTGCGAGCCCCGCAACTTAGTGACCTGCTGGCTTCTGCCCGCGGTGGCCGCTAAGCGCGCCAGTGCGCCTGGTGAACTAGGGCCGTCGGTGGGCGGTGCGGCGCCGATCTCCAGGTTCGCTGCCCAGCATCGCGGCCGATGCAGTCGCTCGATCGAGGGGCGGGGAATGCCCGTCCGCGCCGCACTGCGCACTTCTTCTAAAGGCGCGCACAGCTCCGATCAGCTTTGCCCCGATGACAAAGCACTCGACCACCGTGAAGTTGCGCTTTACCACCACGCCGCGCGCGGCACGAAGTTTGGCCAGCAGCTTATGGGAGAGATTGCGTTTGAGTTTCTGGTCGCCCAAGAATTCGTTTGAGATCTTGTTGGGGACTGGCAAGAGGCGAGATTTCGTTTAATATGTTGTTTGGGACGTGGCAGCGGCATGATGTCGTTTGAGAATTCGTTCGTGATTTATATGCGGCAAGATTTCGTTTGAGTTTTTGCTTGGGCCCCAAAGTGTCTCGGATTATTTCATCGGAGATCCGTTTGGATATTCTCTCGCGGCAAGATTTGGTTTGAGATCTGGTTTGAGATTTTCTCTCTCGGCGAGATTCGGTTTGAGTTGTTCGGGTTTTCCTGGGGGTGCGAGAGGTCTTGGACGCACCCGATCTAACCGAAGTGGGGGCGCACTCGCGACTCCGATGCCGAGGAGACGTACTACGCCCCTATCTGCACCATGGTCGAAGACGACAAGTACGGGTTAGGCGCAGACGAACATGGTCGATATGTCGAACTATGCTTTACGACAGAAATGTCGAAGGTCGTCTAGTCCGAGCAACAACGCATCATATTAGATGCCGACCGGGTGACCACTGTGCGGGTATACGTAACCGCCGCTGCAAAGCGAGCTGTGGTCGTCAAGGAAGACGACCTCCTCACTAAAGGTGACAGTGGGGCGAATCCCGACAAAGTATCGAAGGCCCTCTACACCGAGCTCCAGACATGGTTCTGTAACAAATGGTATAAGTTGCAAGAAATAGCTAAAACGTGGAATATTATGGCATCGAGATACGTGTACAACTATAAGTTCGTGAAGAACGAGAAGGGCGAGATGGTACGTACCATCCGACCACGCTTGGTTCCCCGAGGTTTCATGGACCTTGAAGCCTTCGACGTAGAACCATTTTCGGGAACAGCGAGACGGCCAAGCCAGAGGTTACTCGCTAGCACGGCAGCGTGCAATAATCAGTGGATCATTGCTTCCCTCGACATCAACATGGCCTTCCTGGAAGGATTGACCTATCGGGATCTTGATGAGGCTACTGGTGAAAACGAACGTGGCGTGTTTTACTTTGCCGCCTGGATTGGCCACAGTGCTCCGAATTCTCCCAGGATTCGAGCACTATGACGAGTCAAAGCACTGCCTACAGTGCTTGAAACCAGGCACAGGCACCAAAGGCGCTCCACGGGCTTTCTCACTTAAGCTCAGGAGGGCCACCAGAGGATTCGGTCTCCGACCCACGTCATACGACGAGGAGCTCGAGACGAGCAACAGCTTGCTCACGGCCAAGCATGTTGATGACATCGCTATGGCCGGTACTGAGGACACCATTGACAAGCGTGTCAAATGCGTTGAAGATACCTTTGGTAAGTGTACATTTCAACAAGCACACAGACCAACTGTGCTGTAAGATACACCAAGGACGATGACGGCAATGCCACTTTGGATCGAGATGAATATATCAAATAGCGCCGTCCTGTACAACATCCCGAATTGACCGGCGCCGACGCTGACGCTCAGGCATCCAAGATGGTGGCGGACATGTTCGTCAGCCTCAGAGGTGCGCTAGCGTATGCATTAATCACCCAGGTGTGGTTGATGGTTTATGTTGTATCTCTAGAGCGCGTCCAAGAACCGACCAGCATTCAAGTGCGACGACTGAACGCGATCACCAGGAAGCCACAGGCCTGCCCGAAGAAGATCGTCTACCAGGCGATGAATCCTACGGGCGAGGTTGATCTACATCGCGACTCAGGATATCGACGCCTGAGTGGAGACGCCGATGGCGACGTCAAAGGCTATGGTATTCGCGGGGCAAACCTGCTACGACGTGGAAACACGTCATCTGGTAAGCCTGTCGTTCACTTGATCGATGCGCACTGCAAGTCTCACCGCTTGCAGGCCCTGTCGAGCTATTCAGCAGAGACACTCGCAGCAGCCCATAATTTGGAGGACTGTTATCCCACGATTGTGACTCTGCACGAGCTCCACGCAGGGCCGCTCACGCCCACTCAGTTGAAAGATGCACCGGAGTTGGGTGGCCTGAGCATCAAGGCCACTTTGACCATCGATGCTGCGTGTGTTTTTAAGTCCTTGTCAAGCAAAGACTTGGAGAAGCCGACTGAGTGCACCCTTTTAGGACGAATCAGATGGATACGATAGATGATGGAGCGTGGAATCGTGCACAGCATTCAGTGGTGTGACACCCACGATATGACTGCGGATGGCCACACCAAGGAGAGCATCGACAGAGAAATGCTCCTACAAGTCATGGGAGATATACAGACCTTCAAACATGACCTGAAGAGACATACTCCATAGCGGGCCGGCCAGACATCAATTCCTGACGCCGCCTGATGAGTGCGTCACGTACATGCGAGGCAACTTGCGAGCGGGTCCACCTTCCTTTAGGCCCGCTTCCTTTTCTGTCCTTGTGTATGATAGCTGCTATGCCCGCTGTATAGGGGCGACGGGCTCACGCTTCGTCTCCCCCCCCCCCCCCCCCCCCCCCCCGACTCTACAGCGAGCTGAGGGGCGTGAGGGGTGGAGGCGAGCGTGCGCCCGCGGCCGCGTCGGCTAAAGAGGCCGGCCGCCCAAACATGATTGTGCCTCACTGCGAGGCACACAATCGCTACCGAGACCAAAAGGATATTCCTATTGCTTGAGATGGCATTTCCTCTTATACTGGGACTATCGTTCTACGGTACAACAGAGCGGGAGCTTGGCTTCGCCTGAGGCGAAGCTGCTGACTGGGCCTTCCAGCCCCCTTCAAACCGAAGGGCGCGGATGAGGCCCTCCAGGTCATCGTAGGTGACGGCCAGGTGGCCGCCCGCGTCCGCTGCTTTCTCGCAGCCCTCGCCGCGTTGGTGGAGTGCCGCGCGCCCGCGTGGCTCCAGAGGCTGCGGCGCAACGCCGCTCCCTATGCATCCATGCAGCCGAGCCCGGGGCGCAGCTGGAGGGCGCCGACGCACGGGCGTTCCGCGCGGCCCAGCGCGGGCCGCACCTCGGTGCCGTTCCGGAGGGCCCCCCCCGCGCTTGCGCGGAATGGGTCCAGCCCCATCGCGGAGAGCCAGGCCCAGGCTTCCGGGCAAGGCATGGTTGCGGGCTGGAGCTTGGCGGAGCGCCAGGGCGGGCCTGCGGGCGCGGGGTGGGCTCCGGGCCTCTGGCAGGACCCACAGCAGCCCGGTCTGCTTCTCGAGGCGTTCGGCGTGGAGTTGCAGCCGCGCCTGCGCGTCCTCGTCGGCGAGCGCGGGGCGTCCAAGGCCACCTGCATGGAGGATCTCGGCGTCGAGGTGGCGGCCGAGTCGCCGACGGAGTGCGTCGCGGCCCTGGGCGGGGAGTTGGAGGTGGTCGAGGCTGTCGAGGCTGATGTGGGGCTGATCTGCTCGGCCCAATCAGCGGCGGAGGTCGATGGCGAGGACTTCCGAGAGCCTGAGGGATTGGAGGCGCCCGTGGCTCCCATCGTGGGGGGCGTCGCGGGGCCCCTGGGGGCGAGCGGGATGGGCGTCGTTCGAGGCGGGGCCCTGATGTCGGGGCCGGCACGGCGTCGGAGTTCAACGTCGAGGACTTCCTGGCCGAGATGTTCGCGGTCTCGGGGGGCGAGGGCGGCGTGCGCATGGGCGGCGTGGCCCGCGTGCACGAGCGCGTCGGCGTCGACATCGAGCCCGCCAGCGGCTACATGGCCTCGCCCCGTTTCTCCGAGGGCTTCCACGTGGAGGGCGAGTTCCCCTTTCGCGTGGGCGCCGCCCGCGCTGCCCGCGGAACGCAGGCGGGCCCGCGCTCTGTCCTGCCGGATCCGCTTCGAAATGTTGGCGCGGCGCCCCTCGGCGTGGGTTCGGGGGGCCGCCGTCTGGGTCGGGCTCGGCCCGTGCGTTCCCGTTCCCCCTTTCCGGGTGTGGCGGCGGGCTGGCGGCTGCTGGGATTGCCCGCTTTTGCCCCCGCGGGGGTGTTCTCCGCCCCCCCTGGCTTGCCCGCGGGGCATGCCAGGTGCCTGTCCGGACTGCTTCGGGGCCCTTCCCTCGTCGCCACGGCGCCCGCGCGGCGCGTTCGAGACGGCTCGGGGCCCTTGACATCTGGGGCCCTGGCGGTCGTCGGCATGCTGAGGGCCGCCAGGGCCTCTCTGGTGCTGCCCCATCCATCCTCCAGCGAGATCCAGCTCGAGAAACCGCGCAAGACCCTCCAGGAGCACGTGCCCGAGCGCCCTTTTGTGGACAAGGACCCGAATGCGATCGCAGTCAAATTGAGGCAGCTGGTCACGCAATCTATGTCGGCTCCGGGCGCGCAGCCCGAGGTCTCGTGGAACGCGGTGGCAGCGCAAGCCATCAACCAGACCAAGGAGGCGCCCCAGGCCCTGGCGGACCGCGCCGTGGAGCCAGAGGCCCAGCAGTGGCCTCTTTGACAGGCTATCTCACGCCTGGGGGGGGCGACGGGAACGGCCCACACCTCGTTGGCGCCTGGAACTGCAGTGCCACGAAGCAGTCGGGCAAGCGCGCCAACCGCATGATCCAGAACAAGTTAAATTACATTCAGCGCTACTGGAAGGGCCCAATGCTTCTGGGGCCCTGGGAGACTCGCGCCTCTGATGTCAGCATGGAGGCGATGCTGAAGAGACTGGGGAAGCCATTGCATTTCTTTGCCTCGTGCCTGGCAGGAGGCCAGAAGATGCGGGAGGTGCGGCGACTTGAGTGCTTGCTACAGCTCACGGCTACGCTACGCCTGCGATCTTGAACCTGAGGAACTTGTCCCTGGGCACGCTCTTCATTGACGTGGCGCCGTTCAATCTCTGGGGCGTCGCCAGTCAGTCTTGTTCATTGGTATGTGCGCGGCAACTATGTTTCACCTGATCATCGGCGACGGGTCGCTGCGCGCCCGCGTCTCCTCTTCGAGTGGGCTTGCCGTGAACCTTTGACACGCTCTGTCTTCGTCGTCTGTGACTTCAACTTTGGCGACTACGACGATATCGGTTTCTTCGTGCAGGACGGCCAGAACCCGATGCTGGATGGCCCGCGGCCACCCAGCGCGGAGCATATTGTCACTGGTGCGTTCCGGAACAGCTCTGCCAGAACAGTCTGGCGCCATTTCTGGGGCAGTGCTCGCCCGCCCGCGGGCGGGGGCTCAGGCGGCTCGCCCTGCGCAACACCCTGGCCATAGGCAATGGCCGGAGGCGCTGCGAGCTGCCGCGGAGCCGATGCCCGGCAGGCCCACCCACTGCGAACGCCAGCGCGCGCACGAGCTCAACCATCGATCGGATTTTCGCAGAGCTCCCGCGGCGGCAGCCCTGCCAAGGCTTGCAGTCGCGCCGGGTGAGTGGGGGGGGCCCGCGAGCTCCATGCCCGTGGTATCAGTGACCACTCCACGGAGTCGTTTGCCTCGCTGCTCCGCCGCCAGCGCCCGCTGCGAGACGCCGATATGCCCGCGGCCATCCCGCGCGATGTGGTCGCGCGCCCACGCATCAAGGAGATCGTGGATGGCTACGCTGGGCAGGTGCAGCTGGCGCATCACGCCCCTCCTGACGAGCGCAAGTACTTCGCGAGGATCCTGCAGGCAGCCGCCAACGACGTCCAGAGGGAGCTGCTGGTGGCTGAGGGCTGGACCAATGGCGCCACGGCGCTCATCTGGCGCCGGCTTGCCCGCGCCTGGTGGAGACAGAACTGGAGGCTCGCGCTGCTGGCGGTCTCCCAGAATGCCCGGGCGCGCGAGCCGGTGCAGGTCGACGCTTCTTCGAAGTCCGCGGCGACCTTCGAGTTTGCGGAGTTCCAGAGGGTGCAACATTGCCTGGAGGAAGGAGGCGGCTAGCCAGCGGCGCGCGCTGGAGACTGCCGCCCAGCAGGGGCCTGAGGATATTCGGAGGATGCAGCTGGTCGCGACCAGTCGCGCAGCAGCGCGCGACTGGTCGCTGCTGCGCGACCGGTCGCGCAGCAGCGCGCGCTCCGTCGCCGCGCGCGACGCTGGGCGCCTGCTGGAGGTCGATGGCCGCGAGCTCACGGCGACCACCGCCTTCTCGGCGGCCCGCGCCTGGATCTGGCAAGTTCTGGAGTCTCGGCGCGCTCCCGGGGCCTCGATAGCAGCGGCCCAAGCGAATTGCCGCAGCGCGGCTGCCACTCCCAGTGCCGACGGCGATCGCCCACTCCTGTTTTGGACCCTGGTCGGCGTCCTCCACGGGGGCCCCCTCTCAGGAAGCCTCTCTGTTCTTGCCGCGCATCCGTGTTGCAGAGACATGGAGCGGGCTCTGGAGGCCGCTGGCAAGGGGGCTGGGAAGTGGCGCGCGGACGACGCGGGAGCGCCGGCGCGGGGAAGTCCAGGTCTGCGCGTTTTCGCGCGCATCTTTAGAATCTCGAAAAAGAATGCTGGCCTTGGCCTGAAGTTGTCAAAATGTTGTGCCACCCCGCTCTGGGCCCCTCGGTCCGAAGAGTTGGAGGCGCGAGCTGCCGAGATTCTCAAGTCGACGAGTCCTGGGGAGGTTTTTCGTGTCGGTCCGTCGTTGGAGCACCTGGGGTGCGAATTGGGCCGGGCTGAGAACTCGAAGCACTGGGCCGTCCCCGCGGCCAAGCTGGATGCCAGGGCTCTCGCGATTTTTCGCTCGCGCGCGGACGCGCATGCCGCGGATGCACTATGTCGCGAGCGGGCGATCAGTGCCCTCCCGCGTAAATCCCAGTTGCATCCGATTCCAAGCAGCTGCGCCGCAGGGAGAACGATATTTTAACTCGCGTTTTCGGGCCCCTGGATCTCGGCTCTCCTCCGCCCGCTTCCTCGACCTCCCCTCCCTGTGGGGGGGGCCCAGGGTCAAGGGCATCCGCGGCAATGCACCAGCGGCCAGAATGAGGACGGGTCTCACCTTCAAAGCGCGCTGTCTCGAATGCGCCGTCTGCTTGAAGACTGCGCATGGGAGTGCACGCCTGTCGGTCAGCTGAACTGGGGAGGCCCCGCCGGCAAGGAAGAGCTCTGTCACTGGCCCGGCTTCTGGCGGGAGCCTGCGGTGGCGCGGTCTCTGCGGGAAGCGGCGGGGGCTCGGGTCTCCTTGGGGTGGGACCGCGCGGCGGCCCTTGCGTGGCCGTCCTCTCTGGGGGCAGAACGCAGAGCGGAGCGGGAACGTTCGATGCCGCAGATGGTGGAACGATCTGGCGCCCTGCTGACCCATCGCGGAGCAGACCGTTCCCAGCGCGTTTCAGAACACCTCCGCCAGAACAATCTGGAGACACGTCCTGCTGCTAGTGGCCTTCGTCTCAAGACGCAGCGTGCTCTGACCTGCGGCATCCTCCCTCTCCTCTATCGGCCCCCCGACTCCCTTCTCCCCTGCTTTCGCGCACGCCTCGCCAAATTGTTTGAGATTGACCCCGTCGCCTGAAGCCAGTTCTAGCGGCCAGAGGTGCGTCTCGTTTTGGAGTTGGCCCCACCGTCCTGGCGTTTGGCGGCGATCCGCACGTGGAAAGAGGTGGGTAACAGACGCGCGTTTTCGACCGAGGCTGCCTGCTCGGATGCCCATGCCAAGATAGCCTCACACACTGTATTCATTGCTCTCATTTCCATCGGAATGTTGCAATGGTATCTCGCCCATCCCTTCCTGGCCCCGCCCCCCTCCTGAGCCTCTCCCGTCTCGTCTTGTTCTCCACCTGTGCACTCTCTCTCTCTCTCTCTCGTCTCCGAGGGCTCGTGATATTTTATCACCTCCATCGCCTCGTGCACGCTCGGAGCAGTAGAGGATCGGACGGTCCACCCAGCCTCGCGACTGCCTTCATGCTCGCACGCGCTGCGCGCTTGGCCACCGACTTTCCCATTGGGCCATGGAGGCGGCAGCAGCTGGATCGGGGGCGTGGGCAGCGGCATTAGTTGATCAGACGGACCTGGAGAGGCATTCCGCCTCCTCCTCCTCCTCGTCCTTCTCCTCCTCCTCCTCTCCTCGTCCTCCTCCACCTTCCTATTCTGGGCCTTCGTGCGTACCTTTCGCCACCGCATCTGAATACAGGTTAGAATGGCGGGGGGAAGGACAAGAGCGGGGGCGAGGAGGAGCAGAGGGGGGAGGGGAAAAGGGGATGAGGGAACTGGGAGAGCGAGGAGGAGAGGGATGGGAGAGGATAAGGATGAAGGGACGACGCAGGAACGCGGGATGATCAGGATGGGGACCGTCCCGGCTTGTCTTCCGCGCTCGTCCAGCTATGGCGACGGGCCCAGAAACAACTGAGGAGAAGGAAGACCAGTAACGAAGGAGGAGAATGAGGTGGAGGAAAGGAAGAGGGGAGAGGGAGGCGGCTCCAGAACGACCCCATCGCCATTCGTTCACAGTTGGCAACGGGAGGAAAAGGAGGAGGCGGAGGAGGAAGAGGACAGAAACGGAAGAGGAGGTTGACACCTCACGCCTCAGGCTGGCAGCTCAGGCCCTCGCGACGAGGGGGAGGAGTAAAAGGCTCCCCCTCTCCTTTCCCGCCGCTGCTCCTGGTTGCGCTCTTGCCCACCCCACTGCTTTCTTCCCCACCTGGTCGACAACGACGACGTGGAGGGACAAGACCATGCTCCACCAGGTGGCAAGTGACTCTAGGTTTTGGGTTTGGGAGCTGACGATGAGGTGCGGGATGGCGGCGGCGACGACGATGAAAACGACGACGACGACGACGACGACGACGACCGTGACGGCGCCGACGGCAATGACGACGACGAGAACGACGACGACGAAGACGACGACGCTGACAACGACGACGACGACAACTTCGACCACGACGACGACCACGACGACGACGACGACGACGACGACAAACGACGACGACGACGACAACAACTTCGACCACGACGACGACGACGACGACGACGACGACGACGACGCCTTCCCCTCGAAAGTCCACCCACGGATCTCTCGCGGGTTGCGTCCCGGCCGTGGTGAAAAAAGCCCCCCCCCCGAGAGCACAAAGTCGTGCGCGAACAATCGCCCGACAATTTCGAAAGCAAGTCGACGGCTGCGGCCTGCTGCGGCGACCGCGGCGAGGCCCGGCGCCGGCGGATGCGGCATGGTGGCCCGCGGCGCGCTGCGAGCTGCTCCACTGGATGCGGCACGTGGGCCACGCGTCCCGGGAACTGCCCGTCGCCGCCGCGACGGCGACAGAGGCTACGGCGGCCGCGGCGACGTGCGTCGTCGTCAATGCCGCCGTCGTCGCAGAGGAATGGAAAGAAAGAAGCCACCAGCTGGAAGCCACCGAGTCCATTGCGGGATTCCATCGGGTCGCACGGCCGTGCTGTCGCCGCCTCTTATTGGGCGCGGTGCGTCGTCGTCGCTGACCGCCGTCGTATGGAAGATTTGGTCAGAAAATTGCGCTATCGGATTCTTTTTTGTCCAACCAGTCAGCGTTGCCGACGCTCGACGTCGTCGACGCTGTCCACGCCGTCGGTGGTGCTCCGCCGGGCGCCCCGGCGGTGGACCGTGCGTCTAGGAAGATGCCCGCCGCCGCCGGCGACGATGCCCACCACCACGACGACGACGGCGGTGCGTAGATGCCCCGGAAGCAGCCCACCGATCGGGGTTGGGGACGACGGCGGCGGCGGGACCACCACCATGGCGACGACGACGGCAGGGCTCTGACGCAGGCCGGCAGCGCCGCTTTCTGCTGGGACGACGCAGTCAAGACGCCAATGCAGGGTCCGCTCTTTGGGCTCAGGAGGGGCTCCGGTGTTCAGGCCGCTCCTCAGAGCCAGCTCGGGGAGCCTGCTCGTGGCCGAGGCCCGCCGTGGCCAGCAGAGCCCCCTTCGTTCCTTGGTCGGCATCCCGTGTGGCAGCAGGTGTTGGGTGCCGCTGCTCTTTGGTCTATTTGGGCTCGCGGCGGTGCGCCCGTGCTTCGTTCGGCCCGTGCTCTATCGGTGGAGTACCGCTGTCCGGCTGATCCTGTTGGTGCCGTGTGCTGCTGGTCTTGTCCCAATGGCGGCAGTCATCCCCGCCACGTCTGTAGTCTCGCGGGCGTCATTGTAGCGCCATGCTTGGTTGCCAAAGTGCCAGTCACAGGAATGTTTGGCAACGATCTGGACGTCAGCGATATCCATTTGCTGGCCTCGCCGGGCAATACAGCCGAGCTGCGCGAGGCCTTCAGGAAGCTTGTGGATCTCGGAGTTGTCGTGATCGCAAGCTCTGGTGTGGTTTTCGTAATCGTAGCGCTTGGCATCGTTGTCGCCTCGGCGGCTTGGGAAGCCTCCTAGCGTTGGGTGTCGCCCCCCTGGTCGTGGGCCTTGGGCCAAGCTGACTTGAGCCAATGTCTGCCTCCGAGGACCCCCAAAGGTGAGCCATTGCACTGCGGATGTTTGCGGTATGTAGTGTAGGGTCAGGTGAAAGCCGCGCCCAGACGGCGCATCGGCAAGCCTGGAAATATCATGCAGAACGAAGTTGATGCGGGGTGCGCCAGTGGACAGGAATTGTAGATTACAACGCGGTCACCGTCACATCAGCAGTGGAAGGAAGGTGGAGGAGGACGAGGAGGAGGAAGAAGTGACGCGATGCTCTGTCCGATGCCGCCTCATGTAAGTACGCTTCTGCTTCACATTCGTGATGCGGATGTGTGGCTCCTTGCGATTTTGTTACTGCGCCACAGTCGTGATGAGGTTGTCTGGCTCATGCGTACTTTGACCAGAACAGCCGACATCATGACATGCAGTAGCCACCAATGGCGTTGTGCCATTGTGCTGATGAACAAAGAAGCAGTTCTTGCAGGCGGTCTGGGTCGCCCTCCGCCATTTGTAACGCCTGCGCGTGCATGTACGATGTCCACTGTGCACGAATGAGGGCGCCCTCGGGCGCGCGAGCTCCTCCAGGGTCGTGGCAAAGCTGTGCATGCTGTCCTCACTACACCATGTTCAAAGCGCATGTTTCTTGGTATGCTGTGTAGTGCATCATGTACAATGTGAAAGTTATGTGGCACAACGTGTGGGGTGCATCCCATGTTGTGTAACGTATGCGGTGTAAGCTATGCGGCGCAAGCCATGTCGTGTAACTTGTGTGATGTGAGCTATTCGGTGTAAGTCCTGCTGTGCAGGCTATGTGATGCACGCTGTGCGGTGCAAGCTATGTGGTGCAAGCCGTGTGGTGTAAGCTGCGAGCTGGGTGGTGCCAACTGTGTAATATAACATGTGTGTGGTGAAACCTGCGTGCTGACAAGTCATCATGTACACTTATGTGTGGAACAGTCTAGGTGGGGCAAGTTGGGCGGTGCAAGCTATGCGGTGCAAGCTATGCGGTGCAGGCTACGTGGTGTAAGTTGAGAGGTCCAAACTATGTGGTGCAAGCCTTGTGGTGTAAGCTATGTGATTTGCGGTATGTGGTGCAAGTTGTATGGTGTAAGTCAGGTTGTGCAATCTGCTTGAGCTATGCGGTCTCAGCACTGTGGTACAAAGTATGGGGTGGCAGCTATGCGCTACAACTTAGGTTTTGCAGCTGCTTGTTGTGGAATCTATGTGGGGCAGACAGCGCGGTGAAAGCTATGCGGCCGCCCACGGGCATGCACCAGGCGAAATGCCAGCCGACCCGGCGCACGGAGCGCCGCCACGGGTTGGCACCAGGCGAATCTTTGGCTGACCCACCCAGCGCACGGTGCGCCTGCGAGGCGCCCACGATTGTCCACCAAATTGCCCCAGACAAAACTTCGGCGGAGCCGTCACCATGGCAACCCAAGTTATAATCCCGATGTGCAAGCGATGATTGGGGAAGATTGGTACGGACGCCTCGTCCTCCCATTCCCCTCCCCCTCCGTATTCTTCGTGCCCGTCATCATCCCGTTTCTTCCAGCAGGAGCTGCACGGGAGTATGCTTGGGATGGACGTCAAGCAGAGTGCAATATGTTGTTGCGGCATGGCGGAGAAGACCAGCAAGGAGGGGGGGAGAGGGGGATACATTGAGAGAGGGGGGATCTGTGGGCGTTGTCACCCCAACGCTGGCAGCGGCGATGGCGGCCAGCGTCCTGCTGTCTGCGGCAAGTCCCGCAAACGTGCCAGTCCAGCACCTTGGGTGGCGATTGTTCGGGGGGCGCACAGGAGGCAGTAGTGCGTGACACCTCGGGTCCAGAGGAACGTGTGGTACATTCTTCCGCATGGTGTCGGAGATTCTCTTCTCGTGTTCGTCGTCCTCCTCCCTTTCGTCCGTCCTTTCTTGGGTTCCTGTGGGGCAGTCCTAGAGGTCCCACTTTTGGCCGTCTTGGGGCCCTCTTGGGCCGTCTTGGGGCTCTCTTGGCCGTCTTGGGGGGGCTCTTGCGGTAGTCGTGGGACCGTCGTGGGTCGTCACGTGTTTTTCTAAGGCCATGTTGGGTTTTGGATGCCTTTATGCGCCAGTTTGGGACTCTCTTAGGGCCGTCCTGGGCCGTCTATGGGCCCTCGTGGGATGCCTTGGGGCCATGTCGGAGGATGATTGGTCTACGTGTCTTCGTGTGGGCCCTCGTGGGCTGTCTTATGATTGCCATCTTGGTGGCCTCCAGGGCCGTCTGGGGTTGAACGCGCCCGAAAACGTGAAGGCGCCCACATCGTTTCGACACCTGTGGGTCATACATGGTTCTGGCCTCTTCGGGCCCTACTGCGGGTGCTCTGGTGGCCCTCTTGTGCCGCATGGGGGGCCATCTTGAGTCTATCCCAGGCCACATTGGGGCCATCGTTGAGCGTCTTGGAGACATCTTGGGCATGTTGGCGGCCTTGGGTGATTGCCTCGGCCTTCTTGGAAGCTCGGGAGCGTGGATCCATTCTGACGAATATTTCCGCCTCACCGGGGGCGATGACACAAATCAAGAGGCAGGGTGCGAGCTCTACGACCGCCCAAGGACTGATGACGGACGATCTGTCTGCACGAACTCGCCTAGTTGTCGTTGGGGATTCAGTTGTTCTCCTCATTGCAAGACGCCTGTTTCGAGTCTCCAGAGTTCACGTGCGCGCCACGAACCGCAGCCGACCGCCAGGATCGATTCCTGTCTTCAGAGGCGATGTCTTGTGATAAATGTTCAACCAGGAAATACAAACCTAACGGTCACGAAACGGCGCTTGTTGCAGAAGAATTATTCGATGATTGCTAACTTCCACTAGCAGGAATACGACAAGCATGAGATGCAATGGGTTGAGAAGGCGGAGAGTCGGCTTGTAAAACCGAGGGTGGATATAACCTTTCTCGCCAACGAGGCCTGGATCTGTCCCATCGTGGAGGGCTCCGAGTGCTGGCGATAAACCGCCCATGCGTCATGAACCATACTTCTGGTACGTTGCGCCCATCCAAAGGAGGTTCTTGGCATGCAACAAATAGAAGGGAGATGGTACGAAGGCTGCTGATTGGTGGCCTGCTCTCTGGCAACACATTGACCAGACGGCTACGCCCCGTCGTGCCCGCCATTGATTGCTTTCGATCCAGCTGGAGTCGAGGATGACCAGGCCGCTCCCGCAGAAGGATGGGGGATCTGGGAGGAACTACTGCCAGCAGACGGAAGTGAGCCCCCCACTGCTACATGATTGATTGGGACCTTTTTGTTTGCATCTGCTGATGCGACAGATCATGCAAGCGAGGCTCGGTGGTCGCTTGCATGTGATTTGTTAACGGAATTCTGGGTCATGATCATGGAACAACTCCGGGACCATCTTCATCACACATCGAAAGCAATTGCTCGGCGTAAAAATGTCATGAACAATTTATGACCCGATAGAGCAACCTTCCATGGACAAAATATGTATCCGATAGGCCCAGTTCCGCAAGATGATCATCATCATTTTTGCTGTCCCTTTCATCAAACCACAAGGCAACGGTGACGACGGAAACGAATCTGTTCTGTTCAATCTCAAGCGCACACAGGCGAGCTTCGCCAGAGTTAAACCAATGGGGGAAGATCTCGGAAAAGGAAAATATGTTGAGACTCGGTCTCAAGACCCAGTGGATTGGATTTATCCACTGTCCCCATTGCGGCGATTACCGTTCAGACGCCTGTGCGCACCTCAAAGAAAGTTGCACGTCGAAACGTGATGGAATATTGGAAGGAAGGAGAGAATACCGATGCCGAAGTTTTTCCATTAACACATCTCAGGATTCATTGACCGTTTCTGGGGCAATATATAAGGGATGTGAGATCGATATGCAATATATCAGGGATGTGAGACCATTTCAGAAATTCAACCCACGTGATGTGATATCGCTTATAATAGTTCGGATTGTTTTTTGGAATGCGTCGCAGGCCGCATCGCAAGATAACGATATGCGGCTTTCCCGGACGGACCGTTCGAATCGGAAGAATTAGATTGACCAGGCCAGTGCCCCAAACAAAGGAGGAGAGATATTTCTACATTAGACGTAGACATAAGAGAGGCGGTCAAACATTCAGATGTGGTAGAACAATACATAAAAAGGACTTGGGGAGTCAACTTCAGATCCAAGATGCGAAACGCCTCGCGCCCAATTCAGATCTGCATTGCCGAATGTGATGGCCAGGTTGAATGGAAAGAGGAGATAACCGGCGACCGCGCCGAATGTCGGGACACATTGATTATTGCATATGATCAGAATGCCGCCACGGTTGAATTCGGAATTTCGCTAGCATGTAAACAGCACGGAGGACCCGATAGCGGTTCAACCAGTATCGGAATTCCAACGGATGTTGAAACGCAAGTTGCCACAGTTGTCGCAAAAGATCAGGCGAATATTGAATTCTGAGTTCAACATTCGCCTAGTGCTGTTGGTAAAGAGCCGGCGTTGCAAGCCGGCGGAATGCCCGCGGTTGGTACATTTTGGTTCTACGATCATCAGGAGGGAAAAACACACAGACACAATTAATCGCCGGCCCCCAGGAACATTTCGGAAAATGTAGGAAGTGGGGAGAAGACGAAACCCAGAAAATAGTGCAAAGTATCGGGAATCTTGGGATCTGCGTGTATTTATCTGTGCGTCCCTAGCCGCTGGCCCCCTTCAGAATACTAAGGAGGACGCTGCCGGCACAGCCCGCAGTGCTTCTTATGCTAGGCCGTGGGACGCAATGGAAACAGAGCCTGCAGCTAGCGAGGCCACCGGTTCAGCCGGTGACCAGCCACTTGCCTTCCAAAATGTTGTTGCGCTGCTGCCTGCGCAGATAACGGCGGCCGCTGATGGGCGGCGCCTCCAGCAGCCTTCGCCGCTCGCGCAGCTGCCGCGCCGCTCCGCGCAGCCAGCCTACGCCGCCATCGGCGCCGCAAAGGAGTCGGAGCAACGGCTCGCGCGCGCCCGAGATGACGCCGTACCTCGGTCCCCTGCTGCACCGAGGCGCATGGGATGGGGTGATTATGCGCGTGAAGAAGCAAATGATCGATGGGCTGGAAGTCGGGCGCGTTCCATATTTGCCAATGGAGCTCACGCATGCCATCACCGAGCTGGTTCGGACATCCGCAGGAACCGCGATGCCGCGGGTGATGGCAACTGGGGCACGTCTCAGCTTTACCATGCGAAGAACGGTGACCATAGGGTCGTCAATACTGCCGAGCAGAAGTGGCGGTACTGGTACGCAAATGACTACAACGGTTACTGTCGTCGGTGTTGGTAGATGCAGACAGGGAGACGAGTTCAACTGGCGATGCCCCTACCTGTTCGAATCCTGACAAAGTTTCAGATCCAAGACGGTAACATGATGTGTTGATGCGGAGCGCTGTTCAGGCGTGGGATTCGTCGGTTTGCTTCGGCCCTCCTCGAGGGAGCTCCAACGGTAGCATCGGCACCCCGCCTTCGGCGCCGTAAAAGTTTGTTGGGGGTTGGCGCCAGAGGGGGCCAACGTGCCTAGGGGGTGCCAGGAACCCGTGGAGCCCCGAGGGGAGCCGAAATTACGGGCCTACGCGTCTCGCCGTGGGGGGAGTTATTTGGATCTTCTCCTGCCGTCTCTGTGCCGCCGCCGCCGCCTGCTGCTGTTGCGCCGTAGCGTGCTTTCCGCAGCTGTGCACTAAGGATAAAGGATTGGTTGGCATCTCGGGCCAACCGTGCACTTGTGAAAGGTTGCGCTTCGGGTCGTCGCCGCGTCGTCGTCCCTTCTGCCGCGCTCGCATATCCTTTGCATATCAGCATACCGAGTACCATCGCTACGTCCAGAGCAGTAATGAGACCGATATAGTATCATCATCACACCCCAATTTGCCGAGGATCCCGTTCCTCTGGCAAATAACTCGCCCGCCTAGTCACCATGGTCGTGGAGTCCTTCGGCGGACGGGGCGCGACGGCGTAATGCGTGCTCCGGAGCTTGATTCATGCCCGCGCAGCGCGCAGTGGCGAAACAGAGAGCAACATCACTTTTCTCTTCTTCGGGCCTGGGCTTCACCTTGATGTTTGCGAACGCACGCGCCCTGTTGGCCAGGACCCCTCAGGAAGTCGGCGCCTATGCTGGCCGTGTCATCCTCGCGGCGTTTTTGCTACACGCGGGACGTCAAGAGGAGGCCGGTGCCCAGAGTGATTGAGGGCGTCCCATTCGAACCTCTTCGCTCCTCCTCCTCCTCCTTCCCCTTTCCCCCGCCCTTCCGCCTCCTGGCGCGGTCGTTGTTCTGTGTAGTCTTCTCCCCGTCGGTGGTGAGGCTGGTAATTTTCCCGACGCGCTGGCGCACAGTTGTTGCTCTTCTTGGCCCGTTTTTTTTCGCGCCTTGCTTGTGGCCCTCGGTTGCTCCTCCTCCTCTCCTCCTCTTCCCTGTCCGTGACCCCCCCCCTTTGCCCTTGCGTTCCCTCTTCCTTGTGTCCCTCCCCTTGCCCTTGTGTTCCCTTTCTTTCCTTGCTGGGATTCCCCCCCTGTCCCACCGCCCCTCCGTCTGTCGGCCCGGTCTGTCTCTTCCTGTCGTCCCCCCTCCTCCCCCCCTCCTTGTCTCTCTCCTCGGACCCTCGCTCTCTGGCCCGTTCCTGTTTTTGCTTGGCCAGTTATTTAGTCGGCCCGCCCCGTGGCCCGAATAAGAGTTGCGGCGGCCCGCGCTGCCACGTTGGCGAACATCGCTGGTTTTGCGTCTTCAACATTTCAGTTTTCAGAACTGTCGGCGCGCATTTGGCGAACTCCACTTGTCGAGGTTGTATCCTCCTGTTCTCCCCTTGGGGGGCGGCGCGATAACACGAATTTAGTCGCGCTTTACGCAGCGCGAAACGCGAAAATAGTTGCCGCTGGAGAGGGTGAGGAAGGGAGGAGGAGAGGAGGACGAGGACTACAGTGATTGACGGCGCAGTGACTGTTAATTTGCCCCCCCCATCGCGCATCCCCCCTTCCTTTCCGTGTCCACATCTCCGCATACATTTGTTTCGGTCAAAGCGGGGAGCACGTGCGCGCACGTTCGCTCAAATGCATGCGTTGGGAGCCGATGCCGCTGCTGTGGCCGCAGGTGAGATCGTACGCTGATCACCATCCAACGCCACAGTCACCATGAGTAGGAGGATCTAAGGTCGAGCTTTGTCATGCTTCTGGTGCGTTTCGGGTTCCTGCAGCGCCCTCGTCGCCAAAGCAGGATCTGCCTCGGAGTGGAACGAAAGTCGCGACGGTGGGTTTCAGTGCGTCTTCGGCGTTTGGGTGCCGCTTCCTGGCCCCAGGACCGTCGACAGACGGGTCGGGAGGAAACGACTGGCTCTGGGGAATGGGCCGAATTCCAGGGGCTCCAGATGGGCGGTCCTATCGATCCGAGTCGATCTGGGTCTTCACTTGGCTCGACCCGATTCGATTCCGATGTTTCGCCGGTCCGATGCGGTCACATGAGTGCATGGTGTTGCTGTGCATCCCAGCGCAGCCGATCCGAGTCGATTTCGAGGCCGTGCCGAGACAGACCGGTCCGACGCAGGTTCCGATTCGACCCGATCTCCCGTTTCGGTGTTGATTGTTTTTGCCCACGTCGCGAAAAGAAATGCTCATCGGGGAGCGGGAGGATCGAGGGTCGGAGATGGATGCTTCTCGGAGGCCTCCGGCGTGATTCGGGTTTCCTGTGGCACCCGCGTCGCCACGGCTGGGTCCATTTCGTAGCACAGGATGGAACGCGCCGAGGAGAATTAGGGGGGGCAGTTTGTGGGGCAGGAGAATAGAGGGAGTTGCAGGAGGACCACGAGGAGGGAGGAGGAGGAGGTGGAAAGAAAAACTGGAGAAAAGGGGAGCGATCAAGGGAAGGAGGAACAGGGAGGAGCAGCACGAGGGATGAACCAGTAGTCTTGGAATATCTTTCTCTTCCTCTTCTTTCTTTGTTGACATGAACTCAGCAAGCGCGCATCCTCAATGGCACATGCACGGTTCCCTCCATGAGGGATTTTCTACGTATGGGCAATGGACATAGTACAGAGAAAGAATGATAGGTTCACTTGAAGTGGAAACAGAAAGTGCAGCATCGTCGCATTGCTGCTTATTTATGCCTTCGTTTATCTGTTTCTCTTCGAGATGGGTGGGGGCGAGGCTTACATGGAGCTAGACGAGGCGGCCAAGTCGCTCAGTGTCGCCAGCCGCGCCGTGACTGGGAGCCTGCTTCGGCGCGCCGGAACGTCGGAGGGGCCCAGACGGGGCGCTATTCGTCGTCCAACTGGACTGGAGACTCCCTCCCACCTTCTCCATCTCCTCTCTCAGCTCCCTTCCCCCCCCCTCATCCCCTCTGCTCCGGCCCGCTCTCCGCTGCCCCTTCTCTTTCGCCTTCATGCCGTTGTCTCTTCTACGTCGTCGTCGTCGTCGTCGTTGTCGTCGTCCTTTTTGTTCTTGGATATGGTTTTTACGTGCGGGCCTCATTTATAGTCTTGTGTCCTCAGTCTTTCCCATTCCCGCCTTTTCCCTCCGTCCCCCACCCCTCTTACTCCCCCAAGCCCCTTCTCTCCCCGACAAACACCCAATCCCGACCCTGATCCACCGCCTGCCGACGTCTCCGAATATGATTCCCTAGGCGGTGGTTCTGGATAAGTCGCCGCCTGGCACAGCCCAGAGTCGACGCCACCGTTGGGCCCAGAGGTAAGCAACGGGCCGCGGGCCTCTTGGCCCCACCCCCCGCCACAGTCCGCTCCCGTGGCCCCTGTGGACCCACCTCCCATCGCCGCCGGGCACTCGGCCAGTTCTCAAGGAGCGCCCTCTAGTTCAGGTGCAACGTTAAGGGGGGATTGGCTCAGGGGCGGATGCATCGACCCCCAATCGCCCACTCAGCGCCGATAGGGGCTCGATAGCCCCACCCGCCCGTTGCAATGTGAATAAATAGAAGAGGCATACAGCAAATGGGACGACGTGTGCTCACCCCGAGACAGCCTACGCGTGCGACTTGAAGTGGGTTCACGTGAGGGCCAAGCTTTCGCTCCGGCGAACATCCTTGTTCGGGAGGGCCAAGGCATGGCATGATGAAGATTTGATTACGAGTTGGTTTTGCTTTGATTCGTGAAGTCACTGAGGACGCGTTTTTTCGAGCTGCCCTCATCCATTGGCAACGAATCACGAATCAACTCCGCTGCGTGCACGGGACGAACACTGTATTGCATCGTAGTTTGCCGGTTGTTTCAATTGTGGTGGTTTTGCCATTGTTCGATTTGGGTTCCTGACCGCTTTCGGTGATGCAGGCTGAATTGCGCAGTGGTTCTGATTTGATTCATGCATTCACTGAGGATGCATTTTAGAGTTGTCGCTGATCGCGCGCACCCGGCGATGCTCCATATCTTGTTACGTTCTGGCGGTTGTTTCAAGTGTGGAGTGTTCGTTCGATTCGGTGTCCCATCCCCTTCTGGGGAAGGCATGGCATGATGCAGACTTGATTGCGCAGTGGCGCTGATGTGATTCATGCAGTCACTGAGGACGCACTTTAGAGTGGTCGTTGACCGCGCGCCCTGGGCGATGCTGCGGATCTTGTCTGGCGGTGGCTTCAAGTGTGGAGTGTATTCTTTCGATTCGGTGTCCTATCCCCCCGTCATTCAATTACTGAGGACGCACTTTGGAGCTGTCGCTGATCTCGCGCATCAGGCGATGCTCCGTATCTCGTTACGTTCTGGGGGTGGTTTCTAGTGTGGAGTGGTCGTTCGATTCAGTGTCCTACCGCCCTCGATGCCAATCTGACCCCCCCCCCCCCGGGATCCCCCCCACGCCGGGGAAGGGACAAAGGGAAGGCGTTTCCCTTTGACGTAACGTGGACGTGGATGGACTCCCTCAAGCTGCGAACTCGTTCCCTGAACGAGGCAGGGTGCTCTCTCCCTCTGTCTCCCCCGACGGGAGAGGAGGATGGGAAGGAGGGGACGAAAGAAGGCTCCCCGTCGACGGGACCGGACAGACACTGCACACACGCCGACAGGGTCGGCGGCGGATTCATGCAGTCGCTGAGGACACCTTTTTGAGTTGTCGCTGATCGTGCCCGCCTGGCGATGCTCCGTATCTCGTTACGTTCTGGCGGTGGTTTCAAGTGTAGAGTGCTCGTTCGATTCGGCATCGTATCCTTCTGAAGAAGGCATGGCATGATGCAGACTTGATTGCGCAGTGGCTCTGATTTGATTAATGTGGTCACTGATGACGCACTTTAGAGTTGTCGCTGATCGCGCGCACCCGGCGATGCTCCATATCTTGTTACGTTCTGGCGGTTGTTTCAAGTGTGGAGTGCTCGTTCGATTCGGTGTCCTACCGCCCTCTGGGGAAGGCATGGCATGATGCAGACTTGATTGCGCAGTGGCGCTGATGTGATTCATGCAGTCGTTGAGGACGCACTTTAGAGTGGTCGCTGACCGTGCCCACCGTGTGATGTTCCATCTTCTAGGCGCTTTGCGTAACCTCACTGGCCCATCCAGAAACGATGCCCAGGCGAGTTGCCCTGATCATGGATGCTGAGGAGCATGCAGTGGAGTAAAGGGCTGGGGAAGCCGTCATAACCCAAGAGGGGGAGGATTGAGGAGGAATCGGAGACGGTGGAGAAGGGTGAAGGGAGGAGAGAGGAATATGAACAGGCGAAGGAGGAGGAGCGAGCAGAATGGCCAGAGGCCTCCTGGATGCCTCTCGGAGTCTCTTCGCATGCCTCTTGAAAGCTTCTTTGAGTCCTCTTGGGGCGATCCCGGGGGCCTCTTGGAGCGTCGGGGGAATTTCTTAATTCCTCTTGGGGGTCTCTTGGGAGCCTCGTGGGGGACCTCTTGGGGGCCTCGTGCGGCCTCCTGAGGTCTTCGGGTCATCTTGGAGCACTCTTGAGAGCCTTGGGAATCATCTTGGGCCCTCTTGGAGGAGTTCGATGAAATAGGGGGGGGGGCGTAAATTAGCCTCTCCCCCCAGGAGGCCGAAATTGGCCCCAAACCTGTAACATAACTGATTTGTGCCTTCTCGCTGAGGCCTTCTTGGACACTCCAATCGGTCGCGGGATTCCCCGTCCAGTCCAGGCGTTCTGGCGGTGAGTTCAAGTGTGACGTGTTCGTTCCATTCAGTGTCGTATCCCCCGTGGGGAACGCATGATATGATGCAGAGTTGATTGTGCAGTGGGTCTGATTTCATTCATACAGTCGCTGAGACACACTTTGGAGTTGTCGCAGATCGCGCCCGCCAAGCGATGCTCTGTTTTCGTTATGCTCTTACCATTGTTTCAAGTGTGACGTACTCGTTTGATTCGGTGTCGTATCCCACTTCGGTAATCCCACTTGGGTAGGGCAGGACATGATGCAGACTTGATTGCGCAGTGGCTCCGATTTGATTCATGCAGTCGTTGGGGACGCATTTCAGAGTTGTCGCTGATCGCGCGCATCCGGCGATGCTCCGTATCTCGTCTGGCGGCGGAGTGGATTCTTCCGATGTGGTGTCCTATCCCTCATGGGGAAGGCATGGCATGATGTTGTAGACTTGATTGCGCAGTGGTTCCTGTTTAAGGCATGCCTGTCGCTGAGGACGCACTTTAGAATTGTCGCTGCTGGCTCGGTACGATCGGCATGGGTACGGAAATAATATGTACAACGCCCAGCAGCCGTTCATGTGCATGTCGAACAGAATTCGCGGCCGGTGTTGCCGCGGACGTTGTCCATTTGAGACAGAATGCCGTCTGCCCACCAGCGGCCACCGCCTATTTTGGTCAACATGTGTTGTTGGGCACCGCACCATTTTTTCCTTACCCATTTCTGGCGCCCAAGTTGGCGGTTGTTTAAAGTGTGGTGTGCTCGTTCGATTCGGTGTCGTAGCCCCTTTGGGGAAGGCATGGCATGAAGCAGGTTTGATCGAGCAGTGGCTATAGCTTGATTTCCGCAGTCATTGAGGACGCATCTTCGAGTTGTCGCTGATCGCGCGCATCGGGCGACGCTCCGTATCTCCTTACGTACTAGCGAATGTATCAAGTGTGGAGTGTTCGTTCGATTGGGAGTCGTATCCTCCTTGGGGAAGGCATGTACATGATGCAGATTTGATTGTGCAGTGGCCGTGACTCGATTCATGTTGTCGCTGAGGACGCACTTTAGAGTTGTCGCTGATCGCGCCCTCCGGGCGATGCTCCATATTTAAGTACGTTCTGGCCGTTGTTCCAAGTGTGGTCCGTTTGTTCGATTCAGTGTCGTATCTCTCTTGGGGAAGGCATGACATGATGCAGATTTGATCGCGCAGTGGCTCTGATTTGATTAATGCAGTCATTGAGGACTCACTTCAGAGTTGTCGCTGATCGCGCGCACCAGGCGTTGCTCCATATCTCGTTAAGTTCTCGAGGTGGTTTCAAGGGTAACGTGCTCGGTCGATTCGGTGTCCTATCCGCCTTGGGAAAGGCATGACATGATGCAGAATTGATTGCGCAGTCGCGTAGGACCCACTTTTGAGGTGTCGCTGATCGTGCCCACCTGGCGATGCTCCGTATCTCGTTACGTTCTGGCGGTGGTTTCAAGTGTGGAGTGCTCGTTCGATTCGGTGTCCTATTCGCCTTAGGGAAGGCATGGCATGATGCAGACTTGATTGCGCAGTGGCGCTGATTTGATTCATGCAGTCACTGAGGACGCATTTTGGAGTTGTCGCTGGCCGAGCCCACCATGTGATGTTACATCTTATAGACGCTTCGCGTAACCTCACTGGCCCATCCAGAAACGATGTTCAAGCGAGTTGCCCTGATCACGGATGGTGAGGAGCATGCCGTGGAATAAAGGGTTGGGGAAGCCGTCATAACCCAAGAGGGGGAACATGGAGGAGAAACGGGAGGAAGGGGAGGGTGAGAAGGGAAGAGAGAGAAAGAGGAACAGGCGGAGGAGGAGGAGGAGGGCGAGCAGAATGTCCAGAGGCCTCTTGGATACCTCTTGGAGTCTGTTTGGATGCCTCTTGAGAGCTTCTTTGAGTCCTCTGTCCTCTTGGGGCGTCTTGGGGCCTCCTGGCGGTCCTGGGGGCCTCGTGGAGCGTCGGGGGAGTCTCTTGGGGCCTCCTGGGGACCTCTTGGTAGCCTCTTGGTGACCTCTTGGAGGTCTCTTTGGGCCTCCTGGACGCCCCGTGGGGCCATCCTGGGCACTCTTGGGAGCCTCGGTGTCCATCTTAACGCCACCTTGGAGGAGTTCGACGACCCA